AGTACGTAGTACCATGCAATAGAAACCCCTGATGCAAGGACACGAGAAACAAGAATCCAAAGAAGAAGAAAAAAACGTCCAAGCGCCCGTCGACAGAGAACCACCAGCGCCTTACTGAAGCAGCGTCGACTCTTCGTCGAGGACGCCAAAGAGGCCCTCAATCTCCTTTTCAATGTTGCGCAGCTCCTCGGCCACCTGGCCCGTCACCAGTGCATAGGCGTACAGCAGCGCATAGTCGCGCTCCTCGACGTTGACAATCGCAGCCGCATCGGGTGGTGGCGGTGCCGCTGCTGCGCCCGCGATGCCGATGCCGATGCCGCGACCACGGCGGCTACCATGCTGCGCAATGTCTGCCTCCTCGTTGTTGTTGTCTATGTCGTTGTTCTCGTTGTCGCTACCGTCTTCGTCCTCTTCGAGGAGGCTGTTCAGCTGCTCCTGCTGCTGCTGCTGCTTCACGGCCGCGGCGTGCTCTTTGCGGAACTGGAAGATCTTGGCCAGCAGCCGGTCGCGCACAATGGCGACACCCGGCAGCGCATCCGTCAGCGGGTACTCGAGCATAAACGAGCTCGCGAGCACCTGGAAGACATGGCAGACGCGGTCGCAGAGCATGGCCCGCTCCGCCGCCGTGTAGTACAGCAGCGCGCGCTCGCCCTCGGTGAGGCGGCCGCGGCGCTGTGTCACGAGGCTCATGGCGTAGAAGCCGTCGAGGGCGCGGTTGGTGGCGGCCATCATGCGGCCGGCCGCCGCAAAGGGAAACGGCCCGCGCAGCTCAAACTCGGACGCGGCGCCCTGCCGCAGCGTTTCGAGGCGGCCCGCGTACCGCTGCAGCGCCGCCTGCTCGCCCGACTTGAGGTACGACCGCGTGCAGTCGCTGCGCAGCAGCATGGCCAGCGGGCCGCGCTTCCAGATGAGGCCCATCTGCAGGTACAGGACCGAGACGCCCTCCTTGAAGCGGCGGCGCGCCGAGATGGGCCACACGACACGACAGACGACCAGGCCCCACAGAATGCCCGCCGTCACGGCCAGGAACCGGTGCTTGGCAATTTCCATGATAAACGGGTGGATGCCGCCCTCGTCGTCGTCGTCGTCGTCGACCCGCTGCGAGAGCGAGTACGCGTACAGCGAAATGACGTTGTAGGCCAGCAGCGTCGTGCGGCCCAGCGGCGCCTTGCCGCGGTCGATCATGACAAAGAAGCTCGAAAAGGCCACGACCCCGCCCAGGACCAGGAGCGGCAACGCGTAGCCCCGGCTGATGTTCCAGTTGATGACGGCACAGGCAGAGCCGGCCAGCGTGGCCAGGAACCGCGCCAGGCCGGTCGTGTTGGAGGCGCCCACGGTCATGGAACAGACAATCATAAACGACAGCAGGCCCCACTCGCCGCGCCAGTGCACGTACATGTCCCGGGTCTGCGGGATGAAGGCCATGGACGCCCACAGCATGGCGCCGATGCCGACCTTGATGCCAAAGCGAATGTCGTCGCGCATGAGCACGCGGAAGAAGCGCAGCACGTTCTGGGCCATCTGCCGGACGACCTTGTTCGAGTGCGGTGCCGCCTGCCAGCTGAACGTGTCGCGTTGCTTGATCATCTCGTCGGGGATGCCGCGGGGGAGCTGCGACTTGCGGATCGGGCGGACCCCGCTGCTGTTGCTGTTGCTGTTGCTGTTGCTGCCGCTGCCGGACGCGACACCGCGCGCGTTGCCGTTGGAGGCCGCAGTGTTGTTGGCGAGGCTGTCGTACGTGCCGTCGGTGTCGCCGACACGGTCGGGCACGGCTGCTTCAAAGGGCAGCACGGAGGGATAGCGCAACTGCGGGGCCTTCCAGAAGAGCAGCCAGCGCCAGCTGCGGCGGTTGTGGTCGTGAATCAGCTTGAGGTCGTCGAGGACGTCCAGGTACTTTGTCATCTCCTCGCCAAACGCCTGCAGGCTGAAACTGAAGTGGCCACAGGCAGCGGCGACTTCTTCGTAGTCGGCCTTGATTTTTTCGGAGCGCGGGCGGCCCAGCTCGATCGTCTTGTACAGTTCCTCGAGCGCGTCGGCACGGGCCGTGTTGAACAGAGCAAGCGCATCCGTGAGGCTCTGCCGGTAGTGGTCGTTGATGAAGATCTCGAACCGGGGCGGGCCGCCAAACGGCGAGTCGCGCAGCACAGTGGCCAGGGTGAAGGCCAGCGACTTCATCGAGGGGCCAAGCATGCCGATGAACAGCTCAAAAATCTCCGAGGACGTGCGCAGCGTAGCCGTGCTGTCGCGGCGCGACTTGCCGCTGCGGATGGACGGCGCGCGATCGCCAATGTCGATCAACGGCATGTGGTCGGCGACCGGGCGCGAGCTCAAAGGCGTGTTCATCAAGCCACCCGTGTCGTTGTCGCTGTACTGGGTGATGAGCGGCGCATCCGGCCGGTCCTCGCTGCTCTCGTCCGAGGCCTCGTCGATGGCAGACAGAACGGCCAGGCGGCCGCTGCGCTGGAAACTCGAACTGGCGCGGGACAACTGGGGTCTGGCAGAAGAGGAGGCAGAGGAAGCCGCGGAGGGGCCAGAGGAGGACGAGGCTGCGGCGCCAAGTGCAAGAGAGGGCGACGAAGAGGGCGAGAAAGTGGCGGAGAGGGGCGATCCGAGAAGCTGGTCGAGAGACATCGCTGGCGCTGCCGAGCCCGTGGGCATGCCTGTGCCTGGCGTAGCAGTTGCAGAGCCGGCGGTTGGCGCGCCTGCGGCGGCGGCTGCCGTTGCAGCGGCGGACTCGCGCATCAGTTCGAACTGTGTGTTGGCCGCGCTGCGCAGCCCGCCAATGGACAGTGCCAGCGTCTCCATGGACTTGTACACAAGCTTCTCAAACTGGTAGAGGCTCGCATGGCCGACCGCAAAATGTTCGTACTTGGCCTCCTTCAGGTTCTTGGTCATCTGTGCGTGGGCGGTCGTCCAGTTGCTGACCGCCGTGCGATACTCGGCGGATACGGTCAGCTCGTCCTCGGCGCCGCTCAAGAAGCCGTGCGTAATCATCGCAAGCATGTCGCCGAGCGACTTGGACGCCTCCGTAAAGGACTCACGCAGCAACGCGCGCGCCGACACACGCCACAGGAGGAGACTGACGGCGGCCGTGGTGCTGATGCCAAAGACCAGCGTCTTGAGCACCTGCGCGACCTTGTCATTGGAGAAGACGCTGCTGTAGGTGGCGTTCTCCTTGGTGACGACGGTAATGATGGCCAGCGAGGCCAGCGTGCAGCCGACGTTGACGGACGGGTTGTTGAGGCGCTGCTTGACCCAGCCGATGAAGCCAAAGGCGACGCAGATGAAGAAGACCAGCACGACCAGGTAGGCAAACGTGACCCAGCCGAGAACCGACCCGAACAGCACCGACGTGGCCATGGACAGGATGGAGATGATCTCGGCATACGCAACGGCCACGACGCCAATGGCCGTGGCCTCGATCATCGAGCCCGCGGTGCGCGCGGGGTGGAAATAGACGGTGATGGTGGCCACGAGGTGTTTGCCGTCGAGCCGGCCGAGCAGGTTCGAGAGCGGCGGCCAGAATGTCCACAGGCTGGCGATCATGTAGGCGACCGTGCACTTGATGACGCCGCGGCCTTTGGGCGAGTCCATCCAGGACCGGAAGCGGCCGAGGCCATCGCGCGCGGCGCGACCGGCGGCCTCGAAGCGAGCAATGAAACCGGGCGCGGAAAAGAAGGAGAGGTCGTTCTCGTCGTCGCTAAGCAGGGAGCCGGGAGAGGACATGTTTCCGGGTCGAGGAGAGGAGGAGGAGGCGATGCCGTTTCGGAGCGTAAACTGACGTCGAGAGCGTTCGCCGGTGGAGGGAATGATGAACGTGCCATTGCGGAGTTTCTGGAAGGCAGAAGAGAGAGAGAATTAGACAAGACACAGGATGACGGAGTGACAAGCAAGCGGGTGATGATGAGACGGGGTGAAATGGGGATGCACCGTCGACTGTCCCGCGTTGTCCTTCATTTGCAGCTGCAGGAGCCAGGAAACAGGGAACGAAGGACGTAGTAAGCCGTAGGCAGTAAGCAGGGCGGGCAGAAAGACCAAAACTCACACTTCGCCTGGCTCCCCGAGGCGGCGGCCATTGGCCGTTGGCGGCCGGGCCGCCTGTGTTCGTGACGTTGTCGCCCATCGCCGGGCGTCGATGGTCGTCGTCAATGTGGTTGAGGAGAGAAGTGAGAAAAGAGCAACTGCGACGCGAGGCTTTGGACTCAAGAGCTTGGCCGATAAGAAAGGCAACTGCGCAGGCCGCTAAAGCGTATCGCCCGTCGTGGAGACACTAACTGCGGGTACCTCTGCAATGTCCATCCAATCAGGCACGTTTATTTCATGTATTTCACTTGACGTCGACCACTATTGGAAAGTGCTCGTTGTTGCTGCTGGTCAGGCTGACAACTGGCAGGAACGAACATAACCAAAGAAAGATGGAAGTTGATGCCGTGAATGGGAGTGGCGTGCCAGAGACGTTCCTTCCCTTTTGGAAGAGCTCCTCGCCGCGCTATCGTCACATGACGCGGCTGGACAGGCCGAGCCTTGCGGCAGGCACCATGAATTGCTGTTTTGGGACAGGACAAAGCTAGCGAAACGACGAGCGGCCGGCCTTCCCCCCGCGGCCCTAAAGCCGCCGGCCAGGCCAAGTCCACTAGCCCCGCTGTCTCCTGTTCGGTAGCGCTGTAGCAGGTACACTTCCGGGAATCGTGCAGTGGACAACCGAAGAGTCACAGACGCAACCCCCCACGACGAAGCAATACGTCCTGTACATCTCCTCATAAACCGTCAACCTTGCAGACAGAGCTGCACCTGGGCTCCAGTCCCATGCGTACGGTGCAGACCCTCTCTGCATCCGCCTCCCGGACCCTTCTACCGCCTGCCCGGGCCGTGTGTCCTCGACGAACACCGAATTCGCTTCACAGCTGCGTCGCGACATCTTTACACCGGCTCCTCTTGTGCTGCGTCTTTTTACTCCTTCCACGTACACGACCTCGTCCGCTCTCGCCTTCGCCACCGCTATGGCTCCACCGGCTCCCACACAGGCGGCGTCTCCGCATCGGAGACAGTTCGCACCGCTCGCCGGCCGTACCCCTGAAAGCTCCATACCATCGACACCATCCGCCGCGGGACAGCCAAAAGTGCTGCGGGGTGTTGTCTTTGACGTCGATGGGACACTCTGGTGAGTTGCCGAGTTTCTCCCGGACTGTGCTCACCATCACCGTGTGCACGCCCAACTGACTCTACCGTCTCCGCCGACCCAGCGTCCCGCAGACCTACATGTTCGGCCAGATGCGTGCCGCCCTCGGCATCACAAAGGGCATCGACATCCTCGACCACATCTACGCCCTGCCCACGCCCGAGGCACGGCACGAGGCCATGGAGAGCATCCGCAACATTGAACGTGCCGCCATGGCCTCGCAAGAAGCCCAGCCCGGCCTGGCCCCGCTCATGGACTATCTCGCCGCCCGCGGCGTGCCCAAGGCCATTTGCACCCGCAACTTTGAGCAGCCGGTGCTGCACCTGCTGGGCAAGTTCCTCGACGGCCACGTGTTCGCGCCCATTGTGACGCGCGACTTCCGCCCGCCCAAGCCCGACCCGGCCGGCATCCTGCACATTGCGCGAAGCTGGGGCTTCCTGCGGTCGGCGACAGGCCCGAGTGCCGACGACGAAGACACTGCCGACCGTGCCGCGGTCGCTGCCGAGCAAAAAGAAGAGGAGGCGGAGGCTGAGACGGTCGCCGCGGTGCCCGAAGCCGACGCGTCGGGGTTGATCATGGTGGGCGACTCCATTGACGACATGACCGCCGGCCGCAAAGCGGGCGCAGCGACTGTCCTGCTCGTCAACGACGTCAACGCGCACTTGGCTGAGCACGAGCACACGGACCTTGTCATCTCACGACTGGATGAGCTAATTGATGTCCTGGAGAAGGGCTTTGTCGGACGGGAGATTACGCAAGTATTGTGACTGAGCGCAAAACATTAAGCGAGAACGAGTTTAGATGATAATATAAACAGACACGTCATAAATAAATATAAAGGCACATACATAGAATAAAACAACGTGGCATTTGAGACACAGATAAGGAGAATGCATGAACAATGCCAGTTTTACGTCAAGTTGCGCGCAGTATAAATGAGGTAACAGTAAAAGAAATTGTTTGGCATGATGTAACCAAAAAAATAAGATACATACGCAGTGAAATGATAAGATGAGATGGGACATTCAGAAATGAGAATGGTGACAAATGAAATACAAATGAAAAAGAAAATAAAGTATAGTAAGGGAGCATGTGAAGGAAGACGAACGAGTGGAAGAACAGCTGGCCATCGCTAAATCACTTGTATACAGATATATTTTCGTGTCCCTTCACATCGTCTGCCTTTCCATAAGAAACACAACACCCGAAACGAAAAAAAAAAAAAAAAAAAAAAGAAAGAAAGAAAGGAAAAGAAAAAAGAAATCCCAAACATCGCAGGCATGCTCGTCATCTTCGTCTTTTTTTGTTGTCATCTCTTCCATGGTCTCATTTCGTTGGGTATCCGAGGGGGTACGTGTCGCTTGTCGAAGTATAAACAGTTTGCGGCTGGTATGGCGGCTGCTGGCTCTGGTGCTGTTGTTGTTGGTAATGGTACTGCTGCGCGTGCTGGTGCTGGTGCTGGTGCGAGTGATGCGAATGCGAATTCGAGTGCTGCTGCTGGTGGGGTGGCTGCTGCTGCAGCTGTCGGCGCCGCAGCTCATCGGGCGTCTCTTTCTTCGGAGGCGGGGGCGGTGGTGGCCCACTCGGCTGTGGTGCCAGACGGACAGGGAGGGAGAACGTCGCTGGGCTCGTACCGGCGCTGGTGGGGCCGCCGGAGAGGCCGTTGCCGAGGCCCGTTGCGATCGGCACAGGCACGCGGGGGATCGATTCGGCGGTGGCTACTCGTGCTCCCAGTCCCGGATGTACAGCCTGTCCACTTGCGCGGCCAAGGCTGCCGAGTCCGGCACTGCTGCTACCCCCAGCGCCGCCGCCGATCCCGGCACTGCCGAGGCCGTTGCCAGATCCAACGGCAGCCCGCGTTGGGGACCGATTCGGAAGGCTGATGCCATGTTGGTCATGTGGTGACAAAATATCGCCCACAATGGGGATCTCACCTGAAGTTGGTGTCTGTAGCGTACGGTCACGGTCATCACCGTGGTACGTCGTCGGGGAATCGGTGCCGCGGAGGAGCTCCTGCGTGGCAGGCGACAGCTGGGGGGCGAGGTGGGACTTGCGGTTGTCGCGCTCCATCATGCCGACAGCCCACTCGCGCAGGTCGACAGGCGTTCTCTTGGCGGCTTGCACGAACGGATCCCGGTCCTGCATGTGTTAGCAAGGCGCACAGCAAAATAGCAGACAGCGTATAGAAGAAGGGGAAAGAATCAAAAGAGTAACAAAAGGAAAAAAAAAAGGAAAGAACAAAAGGAAGATAGCATGGGCACGCGGCTGTGCTGCGAATACAGCCGCTGTTGCTCCCATCCGTGGACTCACAAACAGCTCCTGCGGCGTGGGCCGCTCGTCGGGGTTTTTGAAGAGACACTTTTGAATCATGTCTTCGAGAATGCTTGGGAAGGCGTCGCTCTTGGGCAGGCGTGGTGCGGGCTCGTGGACGATTTGCTGGAGGAGGTCGAGAATACCGGCCGGGGCGCTCTCCGCATCCGACAGCTGCTCGCTGGCGGCAAAGGGGAACTTGCCAATGGCCAACTCCATGATGGACAGGCCGAAGCTCCACACGTCCGACTTGACCGTGTACCGTTCGCCCTGGATGCGCTCGGGCGCCATGTACGTGGAGGTGCCCACAAAGGTGTCGGCGATGGAGTTGATGAGCTCGCCGGAGACGCCAAAGTCGCACAATTTGATGTTGCCGCGGGAGTTGAGCAGGATGTTGGAGGGCTTGATGTCGCGGTGCATAATGTGGTGCTTCACATAGAGGTACGTCAGGCCGCCGAGGGTGGCTTCGGCGATCTTGCCGAGGACGTCGACGCGGACGGGGCCGAAGACGCGCGACACGCGGTCGAGGGAGCCGACGTCCATGTACTCCATGCACATAATCACGTCGTTGTTGTCGTTGAGGAACGAGCCGTAAAAGGTCACAATGTACTCGGAGTGGCAGCCGCGCATGATCTGCAGCTCGCGCACGATCCGCTTGCGCATTTCCCGCTTCGCCTCGACATGGATGACCTGTGCAAAAGTTAGTCTGCGAACGGCGCGGGCGCGGCACAAGAGATGCGTAAACAGGGAACACAAGGAACACAGCATCGAAAGCCAAATCAGAGGCAACGCACCTTGCGGGCAATCGTTGTGTTGGTCGGGATGTGCCGGACTTTGCTGACGGTGCCGCCGTTGCCGGAGCCCAGCTCCTTGATGAACTCAATGTCTTCGGGCCGCAGATCCAGGTTGTATTCGATGCCGATCTCAAGATGGGCAGACTCGTCGTTGGGGTCGCCACCGTTGTTGGCGGTCTCGGCGGTCGGCGGCGGCTTGGGCGCGGCCGGCGTCAGGGCGAGGCCCTTGACGTTCTTCCGCTTCATCGACCGGGGCGCAAAGTCGGCCATGCTGGGCGAATGTGGGCGGAGAGAGGAGGGCGAGATAGGAGGGGGAGATAGGAGGAAATCAAGATGAGCCCGTGATTGCTGCTGCTGTTTGAACAACGATCGACGCCGGGCAGGCGGTTGTTGGTGGGCGGTGAGCGAGGCAGGAGCGGTCGACAAGGGGTCGAGGGGGGGCCGAGAGGACGGAGCGGCTGCCAGGAAAGGAGACGGACGGGTGGCGAGGACGGAGACAAACAGGAGGAAAGAGCAAACAAGGGGAGAGGGCACGAGGATGCAGATACCCAAAAGGAAGCTCGAGGGAAAATGTCGTGAAAGGAGGAAAGAGCAACGCAGCTCACGGGTCGGGCGGGTGGGCGTTGTTTCTGTCTGGCGGCAAGCGGGACAGAGACAGAGAGGGTTGTCACATTCTAGGAAGGAGGGGCCGTTGAGTGAGTTGACTGGCGGGAAGGAGAGACCGTCTCCAGTGGCTGCGAGGCTTTAGGGGCCTGGGCCGCCCTGGGCGTTAGAGCCGTTTGGCGCTGGCGAATCTGGAAGCAGAACAGGCAGGGTTCCCCTCGTGGCCCCCACTTTTCGTCTCTTGTCGCCAGGAACAGCACTGCGTCGCTGTGTGTTGGTCCGCCCGTATTGTATTCGTAGGCGGAAGGGGGGCGGCAGCGGCAGGATGGCTCGAGAAAGGAACTGGGAAATGCGCCGAGTGCTTCTGCTCGGGCCGTTGCTCGTAGTGAAAGTCATCTTATCAATCTACAGCTTCTCATCTGGCTCCCCAAGGGCGACACATTCGGGGCAACGCATCTCTGAGCTGATGTCTCACCAGCGCCGTCTACGGAGCACGTATGCAGACAAAACTGCCCGTCCCTTGCTTCTGCTGCTGTGCATCTCGGGTACCTGTCGCGGTGCTGGCATCCGACCGGCATGTGCGGTAGCACCACCGAGACGTTGTGTTGCTGGAGGGGCCACGACGCCTAGATGAAGCAGACAGGCGCGGCCCTTTTTACTACGTATACGTGAACGTGAACACGGTAGGGGCTGGCAGAGCTCGCAGAAACAGCTTTACTGTCCGTTGTGTTCTGGGTCTGCTGCCCCTGCGCGTTCCTCCCGCCAGGCCAGACCTGACGATCACATCCCTTGCCTGAGCCCGTCAAGGGCCGGCCTAGTCGCCGTTGGCGTGTAAGAGAGGCGCTTCGTCAGGGACCGCAGTGTCTCCCCTGAGCTCCCTTGCTTTCCGGCCAACTAGCGCTCCTTCGCAGGTCTTTTGTACGACAGAACTCTGTCAGATACGAATATGTACCTCTGCCTCGCACGGCACAGTGACAGGCCTGGGGCCAACCAGGTCTTGCCTCGTGCCAAGCCTTTTGCACCCCTGTTCAAATACCCCGTCGTCAGCCATTGGAGCCTCTCGGCCAGGCCCATGGCACTTCATAACGCATCTTTCCAGCGGTTTCGACATGTGTGATGAGAGGTGAGTGCACAGGTCAGCGAGCAGCATTAGCGACTGCTGTTGGTGGGACGCTGATGGAAGGTCCTCGTTCCGCGTTTCAGAGGCCGACGAACCTGGACTGGTAAAACGGCAAAACAGGGTTCAAACAAGAACGACGACTTTGTCAGGGCCTATGCAGAGAAAGAAACGAAATGAAAACAAAAAGGCAGGGCGACCACGGCGATGTCCGAAAAGTATAGCAAACGTCTGCAATTCGCACGCGTAGGCCAGCTCGCCACGAGGTATGGGCCGTACGTAAGCGCCTCGTCCAGTTCGACTACATCGGACATGTTTCGTGGATATACGCTTTTGATGGCGTATACGATGCAGCAGAAGACCACCGGTTACCGTGTGTCGATGTTTTCTCTGTTTTATATTTATATTTTTATATATTATTGTACATTCGCCTGATTGACTGCCCCTGCCCAGCCAGTGTCTAATTTATGTTTGGATGGGCCGCCATTTTGGTGTTTGTTCTTTGCTCGTTTTGCCCTAGGCAATTGCTCGTTTCGTTCGTGTCCGTCGTCTTCTCGGAGCGGGTATTCATCTCTTCTACACAGACTCGACACGCTGCACTACCATGGCCGTGGCCGCGCCGCCGCCGTTGCAGATGGCCGCCACGCCGTACTCGCCTGGCTTGAGCTGGTGCAGCAGCGTCACCAGGATGCGCGAGCCGGAGCTGCCCAGCGCGTGGCCCAGCGCGATGGCGCCGCCCAGCGCATTGACGCGGGCGCCCGCGTCCAGGCCCAGGATCTTCTCGTTGGCCTTGATGACGGCCGCAAACGCCTCGTTGAACTCCCACACGGCCACGTCCTTCTGGGTGATGCCGGCGCGCTGCAGCGCAATGGGCACGGCCTTGGCCGGCGCCACGGGAAAGTCGATGGGCTCGACGGCCGCGTCCGCGTAGCTGCAGATCCTGGCCAGCACGCGCGACGTGCCGCCGTTGGCATACGCGCGGGCGACGGCGGCGCTGCCGAGCACGAGCGCGGAGGCGCCGTCGTTGAGGCTCGACGCATTGGCGGCCGTGACGGTGCCGGAGCCGTCGCGCAGAAACGCGGGCTTGAGCTTGGGCACCTTGGCCACGTCGACGTCCAGGAAGCCCTCGTCGGTGTCGACGACCGTCTCCGTCTTCTTGCGCTTGTCCGTCACGGTGACGGGTGCAATCTCGTCGGCAAACGCCCCGGCGTCCCAGGCGGCCTTGGCGCGCTCGTACGAGCGGATGGCGTAGCCGTCCTGGTCCTCGCGCGTGATGCCGTGCTTCTTGGCCGTCGTCTCGGCGCAGATGCCCATGTGGTGGTGGTCGTAGGCGTCGGTCAGGCCGTCCTTGATCAGGCTGTCCTCGAGCGTGACGTTGCCAAAGGCCGGCAGGCCGCTCGCGCGCGGGATGTAGTACGGCGCCTGCGACATGCTCTCCATGCCGCCGGCCACCTGCACCTCGCTGTGGCCCAGCTCAATGTCCTGCGCCGCGAGGGCCACCGCCTTGAGGCCGGACGCACACACCTTGTTCACCGTCGTCGCCTCGGTCGACGTCGGCAGCCCGGCAAAGATGGCCGCCTGGCGGGCGGGCGACTGCCCGACGTTGCCCTGCAGGACGTTGCCAAAGTACACGTTCTCAATCTTGTCGACGGGGATGCCGGACTTTTCGACGGCCGACTTGATGGCGACGGCGCCCAGCCGCGGCGCCGGCACGCTGACGAACGCGCCGTTGAACTTGGCCGTCGGTGTCCGCGACGCACTCAGAATGTAGGCATCCTGGGTCGCGCGGCGCAGGACCGACTGGGCGGAGAACGGCCGGGCAGCCGCCGCAGTCCGAAGGTGGCGGACAACCGACGGGCGGATGCTCTGTAACGTCATTGTGGTGTATTTGTGTGGGGTGTCGTGGGGGTGGAGCAGGATGGCACGGTTGCGACAGAAAGAGGAGGGACGAGGAAAGAAAACGCGAGTCGGGGAAAAGCCAAAGTCGTGAGAAAAATGAACAGCGAGACCTTTGTCTTTTATTTGAAGAGACCGCGGCCTCTCGACGTATGGTAGTGGGCGTCTATCCGAAGAGAAGAGGAATGTGGGTGTAGCTGCCGACCTCCAAGCACATGCTTGGCCGCTAGTAGCCGAGAAATGCCAGGTGTATTAGTGCACGTCACTGATTGGTACCGGGAATTGCCCCCCATTACAGTGTACGAAGTAGTTGCGGTTGACACGAACTAAATGTGCCTTGGTGCCCTGTCCTATTGCTCTATTCTCGCGCTCAAAGACCGAACGAGTCCTCACATATGCCGAGCATACATCGAATCATGTTTCTATTCCGTAAGAGTGCGGTAGAGCTTTATTTTCCTTTGCGCGTGGAATACGAATCTTTGCGAGTCGCTGATGGGCAGCGTTCAGGCGGGGCGTTCCAGCGCATCCAGGGCAGCCCCAGCGCATTTGCTTTGCCGAGCTCCAACACAGAATGGACTCCACAGCACGGTGTGGGCTGTGGCAGTGGTGGCGACCTGTGTACCGTGGGCCGGCCATAGCGGACCCCACTGTCATGAGAGGGCGATAGCGCGATAGCGATGGCAGTCACGCCTAGAGTGGATAAGAGTCACGTGCTCTGGCGGCGACGATGTGCTGCAAAGTGCATTGCAAATCATCCAGCGGATGCGAAGACGGACTCTAGCGCCGCTCTATGCAAGACGCCACCGCCAACCAATCCCATTCTCGCCGCCTCGCCGCGTTTGCCTTTGCCTTTGTGCCCATCCACGATCAAGTCATTGCCAACCCATGTCGTCGGCAAAGTGCCTCGTTTGTGGTCTCTCTTGTCTCCTCTGCTCAACCTGACATTATAAATTGCATCCCATCGCATCACATCGGAACTCTGACGACATCCGACGCTTCCTCCCGTCTGCTTGTTCATCTTCTGATCCTCGCCGACGCCGCCGAGCGTGCTTCGATTGCCCAGACCACTACGACGCATCACGACGACCTCGTGACTACGACCAGACGGCCATCAACTCCGTACACCGTCCCGTGCCGACCGTCACCATGTCGACCGCTGCTCGCCGCCGCTTAATGCGCGATTTCAAGGTACGTTCTCACTCGCCTCGGCTGTCGTTCTGCCTCGCCGATACGCCGGCATACAGGGCACTCCAGAGCCGGGCTAACAACCATCGCAGCGCATGCAGACAGATCCGCCCGCCGGCGTCTCCGCCTCGCCCATCCCCGACAATGTCATGACGTGGAACGCCGTCATCATCGGCCCAGCCGACACGCCGTTCGAGGACGGCACGTTCCGGCTCGTCATGACGTTTGACGAGCAATACCCCAACAAGCCGCCGTCGGTCAAGTTTCTGAGCACCATGTTCCACCCCAACGTGTACGGGACGGGCGAGCTGTGTCTCGACATCCTGCAGAACCGGTGGAGCCCGACCTACGACGTGGCCGCCGTCCTGACAAGCATCCAGAGGTGGGCAGCACGAAAACAATGGCACCACCTGCCAAGGCGGGGATATTTTACTAACGTCGCCAGTCTCTTGAACGATCCCAACACCAGCTCGCCGGCCAATGTCGAAGCGTCGAACCTGTACAAGGACAGCCGCAAGGAGTACCACAAGCGAGTCCGAGAGACGGTGGAGAAGAGCTGGGAGGACTGAAGGACTGAAGGACTGAGCCGACCGTCCGAAGAGAAGACGGTGCGGAGGAGGGCGAACGGAGCGGCTGCAGCAACGCATGCATCGATACCACATGGCGCATTACAGGACGGGGCGGCTACGCCCTACATTGTTCTTTATGCTTTTTCGTCTTGGTTTTGTTTTCTTTCTCTGTTTTTTTTTTGTGGTTTGGCTTCTGCTTTTGTTTTCTACATGTACATTTGTTTTCTGCAGTTGCATCTGTGCCGCCTGGTCTCCGACGTCAACTTCGCCTGCACAACCATCCCGTCGATTCTTTGATCTTTGACGATAGCGATGCTCTCGACTGCCGACAGACTCGCCGATGCCATTCCGGGCGGACCAAGTCAGGCTTCGCATTCTGCTCTTGGGCTTCGGACGACGGACACACACAAAAACGCGGACCATGGCCGCGTTGTCTCCCCTGTTTCACGGACCATCTCTCGGGCTACGGGTGTGCGCGGGCGATGAAATACGAAGCAGCCAGATTAATGAGATTTGTATTCACTTTATATTGGACGTAGGTCGGCCAGTTGTTTGCTGTCTGCGACATATACGCCATTATGCCGGGAAATATATGGCAGCGCCCTCCCGGAAAGCTTGCACCACTTTGCCCATGTAGGCCGCTGTCCCTCTGTCTGTAGCCCTCTGAAGCCACTGGGAATCCCTTCTTTACCAGCACGCTGGCACTAGTGCGCTAGCGCGGTTTTGCCAGGGGGAACACGCTGGTTGGACCCTGGCACAACATGCGCTAAAAAGTAAATAAATAAGCAGCCAGTGAGGCCAGGCCCGTCTCCAGCGTCTCTCGCCAGTAAGATGTGTTGCACACCGCCTGAGCGCCCGCCCAGACGCGACACCTTCAGGAACCCCCCCCCTCCACTAATGTTGTTATTATCTTCATCCCACAATCGCGACGTCTCGTCTCCCCTTTCCGACCGACCTCCACGCCGCCAATCCCCCCCCTCCCTCTCCGCCACCCCATGCCAGTCGCTTTTTATTTGTTGTTGCGTCAATAGAGCCACATAGCCTTTCTAGCTTGCGTCACGCCTTGCTGCTTGTTTCTCTTTGTCGATTCGCAGACGCCGCAAAGCGACTTGGGCCTCGACACCGCTTTTCGCCTTTCCGACGACCTTGTGCCTTGTTTTGCCATTTTCCCAACCCATTCTCCCTCCCCCCTTGTTTCTATTTTGCCTGGTTGGCCGTCCTCACCACTCTCGTTTCAGAAACGGCACCAACCCCGTTTTCCACCGCGATCCTCGTGCCCCAGCACACCCCTCGCGTGCGACACTTTCTTTTCTTTGGACACTGTTGTTCACGTGAATTTCGAATCGATCGAGAGGTACCTACGACGTCAACGGGAACGCCTCTCGATCCCTGCCCTCTGGGATATTCTCTCCTTTCGTGTCCGGATCGGCATCTCGTCTACGACAACGAGCGGCCTGGGCCCCGCGACGCTCCCCCCTGTGGATGACCGGTGCGGCATCTACCATCACGACACTCTCCTCCACAACCCGACGGTGACAAGACGACCGCCTCTTCCTCCGTCACCATGTCGTCCAACAGCATCAAGGTCGTCGCCCGCTTCCGGCCGCAAAACAAGTCCGAGCTCGCGGCGGGCGGTCAGCCGATCGTGCGGTTCGATGGCGACGACACCCTCACCGTCGACTCGCGGGAAGCCCAGGGCTCCTTCACGTTTGACCGCGTCTTCGACATGAACAGCGCGCAGTCCGACATCTTCGACTACTCCATCAAGTCCACCGTCGACGACATCCTCAACGGCTACAACGGCACCGTCTTCGCCTACGGCCAGACCGGCGCCGGCAAGTCCTACACCATGATGGGCACCAGCATCGACGACAGCGAGGGCCGCGGCGTCATTCCCCGCATCGTCGAGCAGATCTTTGCCAGCATCCTCGCCAGTCCCGCCACCATCGAGTACACCGTGCGCGTCAGCTACATGGAGATCTACATGGAACGCATCCGCGACCTCATGGCCCCGCAGAACGACAACCTGCCCGTCCACGAGGAGAAGAACCGCGGCGTCTACGTCAAGGGCCTGCTCGAAATCTACGTCTCCAGCGTCCAGGAGGTCTACGAGGTCATGCGCCGGGGCGGCAACGCCCGCGCCGTCGCCGCCACCAACATGAACCAGGAGTCGTCGCGCTCGCACTCCATCTTTGTTGTCACCGTCACCCAGAAGAACGTCGAGACCGGCTCGGCCAAGAGCGGCCAGCTGTTCCTCGTCGATCTGGCCGGCTCCGAGAAGGTCGGCAAGACGGGTGCCAGCGGCCAGACGCTCGAGGAGGCCAAGAAGATCAACAAGAGCCTGAGCGCCCTCGGCATGGTCATCAACTCGCTCACCGACGGCAAGTCGTCCCACATCCCCTACCGCGACTCCAAACTCACCCGCATCCTGCAAGAATCCCTCGGCGGCAACAGCCGCACGACGCTCATCATCAACTGCTCGCCCAGCTCCTACAACGACGCCGAGACCCTGAGCACCCTGCGCTTCGGCATGCGCGCCAAGTCCATCAAGAACAAGGCCAAAGTCAACGCCGAGCTCAGCCCGGCCGAGCTCAAGCTGCTGCTCGGCAAGGCCAAGACCCAGATCACCACCTTTGAGTCGTACATGGGCAGCCTCGAGGGCGAGATCCAGCTGTGGCGGGCCGGCGAGACCGTGCCCAAGGACAAGTGGGTGGCGTTCCTTTCGCGCGACGGCAGTGGCGGCCCTGCCGCCTCCTCGTCCTCGTCCTCGTCCGCCCCGGCTGCTGCCGCCGCCCGCAGCGCCGCCGCCACCCCGGCGCGGCCGTCCACACCGTCGCGCCTTGTGCCCGAGAGTCGGTCAGAGACGCCGGCGATCTCGGAGCGCGCCGGCACGCCCTCGCTGCCCATGGACAAGGACGAGCGCGAAGAGTTTCTGCGGCGCGAGAACGAGCTGCAGGACCAGATTGCCGACAAGGAGAACCAGGCGGCGCTGAGCGAGAAGCAGCTCGCCGAGGCCAAGGAAGAGCTGCAGCTGGTCAAGGAGCACGACAGCAAGCTGGGCAAGGACAACGAGCGCCTGACGAGCGACGTCAACGAGTTCAAGATGCAGCTGGAGCGCCTGATGTTCGAGGGCAAGGAGGCGCAGATCACCATGGACGGGCTCAAGGAGGCCAACGCGGAGCTGACCACGGAGCTCGACGAGCTGAAGCAGCAGCTGCTCGACGTCAAGATGAGCGCCAAGGAGACGACGGCCGTGCTGGACGAGAAGGAGAAGAAGAAGGCCGAGAAGATGGCCAAGATGATGGCGGGCTTCGACCTGGGCGCCGACGTGTTCAGCGACCAGGAAAAGACCGTTGCCGACGCCATTGCCAGCGTCGACGCCCTGCACGCGCTCAGCAGCACGGGCGACCCGGTGCCGCCCGACGACCTCCAGGCGCTGCGCGCGAAGCTGGTCGAGACGCAGGGCGTCGTGCGCCAGGCCGAGCTGTCGGCGTACAGCGCCCAGTCGAGCGAGGCCGAGTCGCGGCGGCGCGCCGAGCTAGAGGCCCGCCTGGTGGCGCTGCAGCAGGAGTACGACGACCTGCTGACGCGCCACCTGGGCCCCGAGGACGCCGACGAGCTGCGCGCGCGGCTCGAGGCGTCGCTGTCCGACCGCCAAGAGGTGCAGCAGAACCTGCTCGAGGACCTGCGGGTCGACGTCAACCGCAAGGCGAGCGAGAACGAGCGCATGCGCGTCGTCATCGAGGACCTGCAGCGGCAGCTGAAGGCGGGCGGCAGCGGCAGCGCGGCGAACGGTGCCGGCGGCGCCAACGGCGGCAGCAGCACGAATTCGACGGCCGCAACCATGGCCAACGGCAAGACGGTGGCGCAGCAGATGGCCGAGTTCGACACGATGAAAAAGAGCCTGATGCGCGACCTGCAGAACCGGTGCGAGCGCGTGGTGGAGCTCGAGATCTCGCTCGACGAGACGCGCGAGCAGTACAACAACGTGCTGCGGTCGAGCAACAGCCGCGCGCAGCAGAAGAAGATGGCCTTCCTCGAGCGCAACCTCGAGCAGCTGACGCACGTGCAGCGCCAGCTCGTCGAGCAAAACTCGGCGCTCAAGAAGGAGGTGGCTATTGCGGAGCGCAAGCTGATTGCCCGCAACGAGCGCATCCAGAGCCTCGAGAGCCTGCTGCAGGACAGCCAAGAGAACATGGCCCAGGCCAACCACAAGTACGTCGTCTGTCCCAATGTACACACCTTGTACCCCCTCCACATGCTAACCCCCTCCCTCGCAGATTCGAGGTCCAACTGGCCGCCGTCAAGGAGCGCCTCGAGGCCGCCAAGGCCGGCAGCACACGCGGCCTGGGCTCGCCGACCAATGCCGTCGGCGGCTTCAGCTTCTCCGGCAGCCGCATTGCCAAGCCGCTGCGTGGCGGCGGAGGCGACAGCGCACCGGGCAACCCGACCGTGGCGAACCTGCAGGCCAGCGAGAATAAGAGATCGAGCTGGTTCTTCCAGAAGTAGTCGACGTGCGCCGGTGTGCTGCGTGTCTCTTTTTGTACTTGAATACCCTCCGCTTCTCCGCTCGCCTCCCCTCTCTCCGCTTGCTTTACCTTTGACGTGTCGTTTCTACTGGAGTTTTATTTCGTTATGTCGCCGTCCCTTCCACGACCATGTAATAGTCGCTTCCCTCCCCGGCCTGGATGCATTCACTTCTTGTTGCTGCTTTTTCTGTTTTCTTCTTCTTTTCTTGTCAGTATATAACGAGAGACGGGGTAAAATTTTGTGGGTTTCGGCATGGTGCTTTCTTTCGTTTACATAGAGGGTATTTTTCTATACCATGGCCACGAATGCACTTCCAAATAGTACAACAAAAAAATACATCAAAGATTGATAATTCTGTTTGCGTATGCGAAATAAACGGTTATATGTTTTTGTATTTTATTATTTTAAAATCTCAACGCGCCACCGGTGAAAGTACCTCCCAATAGTCTAAATTAAAAAAGTTGCGCATCGTCCTGTCCTTCGCCAGCGTGGAGCGCTTACGGCTGGATGATGCTGCTCAGCGGCACGCCCCAGTACCAGCCGGCCACTGCCATGGCGCTGACGCTCATGATGACGGCCATCAAAAAGTTCACGTCGTTGTTGTCCAGCAGGTCCCAGCCGTTCTCGACCACACGGCTCGGCTGCCGCGGCTTGTCCGCATCCGTCTTGCTGTGTCCATGTTGCGGGCCGGCGTCCTCGGAGACCAGCACGCGGATGCCGCCCTCACCCTCCAAAATCTTGCCGGTCCGCGTGTCCCGCACGGACCGCTGCAGCAGGCCGCCCAGCACCGAGTCCACGACGCTGCCCAGCAGGCCCCACAGCACCAGGAAGCCCATGAGCGCGCGGCGGTCGGCGCCCGACCAGGCCGCCGACGCCGACGCGGCCGCCGTGCCAAACAGCAGCGGGTCGCGCGTGGTGTCGCTCGTGCAGAGCGGCAAGAAGAGCATGGCGGCCGTGACAATGACGACGGAGCCGAGCAGGCCCGCGGCCAGGCCGCCGAGGGTGACGCCGCCATTGGTGCCGCGGGGGACCTTGCGCAGCGTGGGGGACGTGATGAGGCGCGGGGTGGCGCGCGACAGAATGCCGAGCTCGCTCGAGAAGGTGTCGGCGGCGACGGCGGCGTAGTTGGCCACGATGCCGATGACGAGCAGGTCGCCCCGCCAGGCATAGCAGAGGCTGCCGAGGGTCGCGAGGTCGGTGTGGGCGGCCGCGGCGGCCGCGGCATCGCCGCCCGCGTGGAGGTCCAGCAGGACCTGCTTACGCTGGTGCAGCTGGTAGGCGTGCAGCAGGGTAAGCACCGATGCGACGAGCGAGTTGGCGAAAACTGACAAAAGGTTAACGAATGTGCAATTGAAGACATGGAAGCACATCAGAAGCATGCATCTATCTATTTCTCAAAACGCACCCTGGACATGCGTCCGCGGCCCCTCGCCGCCCCCGACGTTGGGCCCTCCTCTCGCCGGCAGGGTCAGCGTGGCCTTGACATTCTCCTTGACATGGGTCACGCGCGAGCCGGCGAGGAAGAAGACGGCCAGCAGGACAAAAGGCAGGTTCCACGGATGGACAGCATGGGCAATGGCGGTCAGCGTGGCGGCGAAGATGCCGGAGGGGGTGAGGCTCTTCTTGCTGTAGGCGCGGTAGACGAGCGCCAGCGTCGCGGGGATGGCGATGACCGGCTTCATGGCGGCGATGACGACAAGGCTGTCGATGGAAGAAGTGGTGATGGATGTGGGAGTAGTAGATATAACGCGAGGGTGGGATGCCGTGGAATGGGACGTGGGCTTGGGCTGGTGGCTGTCAGGGAAGAGAAAAAGAAAGAGAAAAAAATGACATGGTCCTTCTCGTTTGCGGTGAAGGAAGACGCCTGCTGTTGTAACCTCTGCTGATGCTGCGTCAGCATTTATTTGCTTAGGTGAGGTTGGGAACGGGTAATACAGTAGTACTTTATGTGGATGCCACTATATATCCAATGACGCTGGTTCGGCATGCGCTAAAAGTGAGCTCCCTTACAGCGATTGCAGCTCCTTATAGTGGGGAGGCAGAGCTCGAAACGCCCCACCATGTACTGCTTGTAGCACCATTTGGGGGACGAATTAGGGCGAATTAGGGCGCTGAACAAGTCTTGGCAAGCACTGTAATTACTCCGTACACAGGTGCCTCCTCATCGCGTGTTGAGACGCGCGCGAGCTCTCCACGCGGCACACGGGGTGCTCGACATTTGTTGTATTCTGATCGCTTGTCTTCCTATCGTCGATTGTCGTTCCCTAGGCTCGGATTCCGCTGTCTCTGTTTCGCTCACATTCAGCTGCGATCTTTCGTGTCCCAGTCGTGCTAATCGCTCCTTCCCTTTGCATTTCCCGTAAAACCAGCAAGGCACAAGCCGCTCCTTCCTTAACTGCCACGCAGGTCACGTTGGACGAATCCGCGCATTCACAGTCACATATTCACGATCTCCGATCCAATCCAATCTCCTCCACGCCTCCTATCATACGAACAAGGCACGTCCGCGCGGTCGACCGCAGCACTTGCATCCAACACGCGAATACAACTCGTTCCAGACAGCATCCACTACAATGGCCGACCGGAAGCGGGCGTATCCCGACGCAGACGAGGGCGCCGGCAAGCTGGCCAAGAAGACCAGCGGCAGCGACGTGGCGGCATCCAAGGCAAAGAAGAAGAGCAGCAGTGCAGGCGGCGTGCCGCCCAAGGGCCAGGACCAGGAGGGCAATGTGTACTGGGAGGTGTGTCCAACGGGCTGAGGAAAATGCTTGGGGGAATACGTTGTGCGTGGACGACAACACAACGGGGCACTAACACGCACACAGCTCTCCAAGATGCGACGCATTGGCATCGCGCACTTCCGGAGCGCGACGCTGATTAACATTCGCGAGTACTACGAGAGCGGCGGCCAGATGCGGCCGGGCAAGAAGGGCATCTCGCTCTCGCTCGACCAGTACAAGGCCCTGATCCGGGCGATCCCCGACATTAACGCCGAGCTGCAGAGGGACGGCGTGGCGGTCAGCGACGTGGAAAACGACGACGACGCGGCCGGCGGGGCGGGCAAGGGCGAGGGCGCGTCTGTGTCGCTGTCGGTGGCGGCACCGAGGAAGGACAAGGCCAAGGCGCCCAAGAAGGCAAACATCGAGGCGACCTCGGACGAAGACTCCAGCTGAACGGACTGCTTTGCGAGGGCGCAAAAGGCCACGCAGAAATGCCTCAATGTTGTGATGGGCGGGAGGTTGGTTGGGCGTCAGGGCAGGCCTCGGTGGTCGGAGCTGGCATCCGCCATGAGGTCGGTCCTATGCGAGCAGCGCGCGTTTTGCCAGGTCGCGGCGAGGTGGTTGCACTGATGCAGCCAACTGAGCACATTATTTGCTTTGTGTGTTTTTTTGCGTTCATTTGCACTGGTGTATTCTACTCAAGGCAGGCAGGCAACGGCAGCCTACACAGCGGGCATTGTCTACCATGCTCAGCATCGTGGTGTCAATCGAGTCCATGTATACGTCTACTGGTGGGAACCACACAGCAAGTCCACGCGTCCTAGACACTTATGCAGATGCACGATGCAACTCCCAAGAGCGGAAATACGAGCATAGGGTCGGTCATGTGTTGGTTTGGAGCATTAGCAACGACTAGCGGAAATGGCACAAACAGCTCGAGGGCGTCGGAACGCCGACGGCGGAGATCATCGGCGGAATGACGACAGACAACGCTGCAACCAGCAAGCGAACGGGCATTCGGTATTCACGAGCATCGTAATCCAGCTCGTGCCTTGGAATTGGGTCTGCTTCTCAAACCTCATCAATATACTGCGTGTGTATTGACTTTGTGCTCTGGCTCCCCTCGTCTTCATATGCATCCCACCTTGCCAGCGCAACATTACACAAGCCACCTCGGCCAGCTATAAAAGACTCACCACAAGCCGAATCCAGCAGGGGACTCGCGCGACTTTGTCTGGCCAAAATAAACTACTAGAGCCATCGCGGCGCACAAAATTACAGTCTTCCAGATTCAGAGCGCTCAGTACCCTTTCGCATCGCCAAACAATCACCAAATTCGACATTCGACGATTTCATTATGAAGGCCAACGCCCCCACGCTTTTCTCCAACGTCAAGGTGGCCACGCGCGTCATCGAGTACGCTGCCGCCAAGTCCAGCGTGCTGCCCGAGCCGCTGCTCGAGTACCATGCGCAGATCCTCCAGCTCGAGCGCGCCAACTTGACCATCTCGACCTACCAGGCCCAAGCCCTGAGCTTCCTGGCCCAGTTGGCCGGTGCACGCCGCGGTCTGTTCTGAAAGAATGAAAGACCGTTTTGGGACTATTTGTTTTTTGCCCATCGCGCCAGTCTGCTAACATGTTCTTGTAGTCCTCGAGATTGGCGTGTTCCGCGGCTTTTCGTCCATGGTCTGGTGAGTCATCCCCATCCGCCAAACAGTGAGAAATTCCTGTATTGTATTCTGTGGCCGTCTGCTAACCCGGACGAGGTCGCATGCCGTCGGACCGAGTGGCAAGGTGACGGGTCTGGAGTTCGTCCCGGAGTACGCCGAGGCCGCTCTCAAGGGCTTTGCCCAGGTCGGCATCGAGAATGCCGAAGTCATTGTCGGCGATGCCATTGAGACGTGAGTAGACCGCTGCGTATCCACCGTCCTGGTCTTGCAAGGCGATTGTCTGTCGGTCGGTCGCGGTCCTCCTAACATACGCCGCGCAGACTCGACGCCCTCGACCCCGAGGAACCGTACGACCTCATATTCATCGATGCCCAGAAGTCAGGCTACCCAACCTACCTGCAGACGATCCTCAAAAAGTCGGCCCCGGGTGCGGCCCGCCGTCTCCTTCGGCCCGGCGGCCTGATTGTCGCCGACAACGTCCTGCGCCGCGGCCTGGTGGCCGACGAAAGCGACGACAACCCCGAGGTCGCCGTGGAGGCGGAGCTGATGAAAGAAGCCGGCGGCTACCGGTCCACCAAGGACCTGGACGCCCTGCGCGAGTTCAACACGGCGCTGGCCGAGGACAGGCGCATTGACACCTGGCTGGTGCCACTGTACGATGGTGTCGGCTTGGGCCGTCTGCTGGACTAGGGTGAGCAGTTACATGGCCTATTGAAGAAAGGAGTCGGACAGGGAGGAGTTCCAAGGAAACCAAACGTCACGAGTATGTCGTCTATCCCAAAGGCCCAATTACCTATGCCTCTACGAGGCTCTGTGATGTTGTTATTGTTTTACAACATTTAACGTCTTGCCAGGCCTTGTTTAAATCCTTCGTGTTGTGTAGACGTTTCCTCATAAATGGCGCAGCTCGGCGTATTACGGCCTGCCAACAACCGTTTGCTTCTGTGAAATCCATGCAAGAGCAGGAGCAGAGAGCACTGCTTCCACGCTGTGTTGATGCAGCCCTTTGCGTCTGCTTGTTTGTAAACAATGGCTGCACATAGCCACCTTCTGACAATCTGACGGTCAAGGCCCGAAGCAACGACACGCGAGAACCTGCACCTGGACCGGTATATCCAGGTCGGCTCCGTCCTCCAGTCGTCCTCGCCGCGTGCACCATGTGGTAGACAAAAGCAACATTGCCCCGCGTACAGCCGTTGCATACTTGTGTACCCAGCAACAAGGTTGGGCGGGGAGTCCTCAAGCCAGGACCACAGTCGATGGTCATCGAGGCATTGGCTCCCCAGGACTCCCGTGGATGAAACGCTGTCTTTTGTCTACATCGCTGCTTTCCCGTCTGCTGTTTGTTCGTTTGGGTTGCAGGCAACATATCCGTGACGCCCAACGGACAGGAGACAAAAGACAAGAGAACGCATCTATGCACTGAAGAACGCCTTGTTTGGTGTCTTTGCGGTCTTGCTTCCTTCTCGGTTTTCTTTCTCTCGCTGTGCCAGGCGGTAAAGTATGCAAGTATGCAGGACGCTGCAAGTCGTAAAGTCACAGTACAACGGCAGACTACTGCTCATTCCACTGCGTCTCGCGACCTGGAATCAGAACGCGGTAGGGGGCAGGAGGACAAGACGGAGAAGAAAACAACGAGAAAAGAAAAGACAAAGCCAGTCACAACAAGACTCGGGTATGTGCAGAGGGGTCATGCGTTGTCAATATGTCGCCGGGGACAAACAAGGAGCACAGCCGTAGGGTCCTCTCACGTCGTACGACGTATAATTAGCCATGTTGCAATGCATGGCGTTTTTCTTATATTTGTTGTCCGTTTTTTTTTTTTTTTTTTTTTGAACCTAAAAAAACCATCTTCCCAAATACATAGTAAATTTTAAAATATAAGTAAATACCAACGGTAAATCTTGTATTCTTCTAATATCTCTGTTGCACTGCGTAATCAAATGACTAGACGAAGCTTACGTCGAGACTTCCGAAAAAGGCAAATGAAAGCAAAGAGGAGCTGACATGATAGGACAAGATTGCGATGTGCGTTCCACCCAAGGCCCAAAGACGTTCAGCTACCCGGCTGCCACCTTCATCGATAGCTGGGACAATTACAAATTGCTGGGAATGCCTACGTGCCCAGCGTATGTGTAGACACAAAAGAGCACAAAAAAAAAAGACAATCACAACATCAAGACGTCCCGAACCACAACGGACCAACATCGAGCACGGGCCCTGTCTCCGCAGCCCACTAGGAAAAGAGAACCTAGACGCTTTTCCGCCAATACGGTTACAAGCATTGGGGGACGGTTCACGCCAAGGACGGCTCGAACCAGTCTGTGCCCAATGGTGTTGTTTTTCGGACTCTGGTCAGAAGTGCGCAGTTGTACAGAGTAAGATACATCCGTACGTCGTAATGCATCATGGGCCGGGCGATAATATGGCTTCTGTTCCCAGGTCAAAAGGTGGACCCGTATGTGTATATTGTAGAGTTAGGATCGTCCCTACGGCGCTGTTGGACGTAAAGCCTTAACAATACGACATACATGGTACCTACGTTGTACGTGGACGACACTTCCTTGCAGGATTTTCTGCTACACTCGGGGGACATGTCCGTTTTCCCTTGCAAACACATGGAGCGCCCTTTCCTATGGCTGCTTTTTTATGGAGAAACGGGGCCGACAAGGACATATTTCATTCCTCACCATATCCTTATCCTTTCTTTACTTTTTTCGTTTTTTTTCTTTTTTTTTTAAAAAAAAAATGCAGAAAAGAGTGAGAAAGGGACGAATGGTACTTCGTACATGGGGGTTACATTTCATATGGGGACATTGTGTGTTTGCTCCATCCTCACGTTTTCTGTGTGTCTCTCCTTGGTCTCTCTCTATTTGAACTTTCAGTTTTGCCGGACGCGCGATGCTACACTGGCTAGTCGCCCCATCTTGTCCCTGCAGGACAGGGGAAAGGAAGGGTAAAACCGTGGGCGCTGAAGAGAGGAGACGTACGCGGGTGGCGATGCTGTTTAGGAATGGCCCTGAAGTTGAAGTAGAGAATCCTCTGAACGTCCGCCGGCACTGGCATCTCGAAGCCGAGAAGGATGTGAAACAATGGTCTCTCAAGGCGAAAAGGGAGTGCGTTTGAGAACGAGGATTGGGGTTTGGCCAAGAATAGAAGGCACAATGCTTTCAAAAAAAAAAAAAAAAAGAAACAAATCTCATAATAGAAAGAAACAAATCAGTTCAATATGCTGCAGGTGGAAGAGCTGCGAGTGTATCTTACGATGTCGCGCGCTCTGGTGAAGCAGATTTGGCGATCAATCAATAACCTCGTGGCTAAATCGCGACGGTTTGACGACAGCACGCACCGTTTCCTGTATCTAAATCTCTCTGGCCACCCGTCATTTCATCCGAACTGCCTCGTTTCATATTGATAGCCGTTGCCTCAACGTCCTTTGTCCTTCTAGATTGTGCTTTTTCGCTGCATGTCTGACACTTTCTTTTGGTCGTTTGTGGAATTGTATTCTACAAAGACAGCATGCTGATCATGTCTGTCTCACCTCTTCTATCTCTCTCTCATCTTGTCATTTTGTCACTCTCACCCATGATTGCGGGATGGAGGGCCGGGTAAGCTGCATGCTGCGAAGGATTGGATGCCCGAGTGGCGACGGCGCGAATTGGTGCCCTTTCCTAACAATTTGAAAGTGAGACCTGCAGGAGACGGACCCTTTTCTGCATCCTCATTTTCATTCTTTTCCTTCTATTCCTTCCACACAATCGTTTTGGCATATCCATTGACAAGCCGATCTTGGCATGCAGCTTCTTTCTGCGGAGTGTGTCGTCTGTCGCATGCCGTGCTTGAAATTTTGAATGCGTTTTCCAGCTGCACAAAAGAATGCCCTAATTACTGCGTAAAGACGTCCACATACAAGGTTGACGAGGCTGGACCATGAGCTCCGGCACCACCAGCTGATCGTCGTGACCGAGGCTGCTTTTATTGTGACTGGACGTGGCTCGAGCAGTTTTGGACTGGACGAGGGCTGATGTGGTGGCCTGGCCGTCACGCTTGGGCCCTGACACGGTCCTCATTGGAGGCGACATATTCCTTCTTTGTATCTTACCTCCGCACTCGGTCAGATACGTTTTCTGGTCAAAACCCTCCCCCATTTTGTTTTTGATCGTCGCTGCCCGCATGCCCACTGACCCTTCAGCGGCACGCTTCCCAATACAGGAAAACACGCACAGCAGCTTGCACTGCACCTCGACGTGAGATGGTCGGTTGGTTTGGCACCAACGGTCTGAGCGGACGGCATGTGCAGCAAGTACTGCGTCTGTGCAGAAGTCAACGCAACGTGATACCCAACACAGCACGGGGCGCTACGTTCGGAGCGACTATGAGTAAAGGCATGATATCGTGCAGAGTGATACAGAGAGATACATCGCCGGTCACACGACCAAGAGTCGGTTGCCTTTCTTTCTCTTTTTTTTTTTTTTTTTTTTTTTTTTCTATTTTCTTTCCAGGCCACGAGCACCAGAGACAGGGCCACAAAGCTATTGGAAAAGATTGGTATAATGAAGAATAAAAAAGCGAACAAAAAGGTAAACTCCAAGAATTAAGGGCGTATGGACAGAACAGACATATTGGGCCACGGCCCGTCTGCAAAGAGGACCCCGTGCTACGACGACGACAGGGAACACCCTTCCAGAAGCAGAAGCAAAAGGTCCAAAGCGCGCGACGAATGTGACTGGTCCCGTCAGACAGACAAGCCATGGCGGCTTGGCCCAAATGGAAGAGGTTCCCAGGTTCCAGCGCCACGAACGCCTTGCCCGGCCCGCACGGCGACCATCCAGCCGTCTTATTTCGGTGTGAATTTGTTTGATGTATTTTGTCTGCGGGACTTGACATCCACCGCGATCAACAGATAACAGCGTCACAACATGTTGCTGGAGAACGAGCGAGAGACGTGCTGCTGTCAAATCGACGAGACTCGCGATGCTATTCTAGATTTGATAGCAAGATTTGATAGCATGACCTTACACCCCTGATCTTGGGACCGTGGGCCTTGCTTTGTGCGACGTACGCCGTAATTACCCAGTATACCGAGACAAGGCCTGCTGGGACGTCAACATCGAACCCTCGTTCTGTCTTTGCTCGTCCTTGCTCACTGTCTGTGCTGTCACGATGCCATGTTGGGCTGCCCCCCAGATTGTTGACACCAGCACCCAGCTTATTTAGCAAGGTGAGCACATTACCTCTGTACGACACACTCCAATGAGCCGTGTGCCGAGTACAAATTCGTGTCGCCCAGAACACGGCCGCGGCTGAATTACCTTTTTCGAGAAAGATTGTCTAGCATGTCCCGCTGGATCCGCTGGCAGAATTGCCCAAATCGGTCGCCATGGGGAGCTGAGTCCACCCAGCCGCAGACATATCTTACATTCTACGAATTATCTTACACAGTACTCCGTACGAAAAAGCAACAATTGCCTCGCCGTCTTCGATCGAGGGTTGACGTGCTTCACACAGCTGAACCGGTCCGGCCTTCTCATGGCTGACCCCTGGACGACGGCGTGTCGTGCCAAAAGAAGGAAAGTCGACAGGCAATCGTCTGGTCCACCCGGCGCTGGGACGTTGGGAAATCCCAGAATGCGCATAGCGCGTGCGCCATCTTCTTTTTTTTTTTGTCGTCGTCGTCCCACGTCTCTTCGATGTCGGCCATTTATCGCCCATGTGCGCCTTCCATACCCACTGCCCCTGTTTTTAGTCCGATTCTAGCACGTCTGTTGCCTCTAGCTATTTGAGTTAGTGCTGTCCCTTAGCGGCCCTGCGCCCGCTAGCCCTGCTAGCCTTAGCTGGAACCCTTGCCATCGCGGCCGTCCATTCGGTGGACATATCCACGTCCCCTGCATCCGTTGCTTTCTGTTCGACTTCGCGCAGGACTGAGTACATCGAAGTCGTTTTTCTAAGTGGCCTTCTTCCAAGTGGCCTTCTTCAAGCCCCGTCTATGGCCATGGCCGGCACGCGCTGGTGTTCTTTCCATCTTTGTAAAACCTGCCTTCAGGCCTCACCATTCGTACTTGCCGCATCAGGCCCGTCCTTGGTGCCACAACACGCCGGAGCCCTTTCCTTCCCCGGTCGAGTACTGTGTAGACTCCCTTCTCCAGGCCCTCTTATCGCGGGTCGCGCTTCCCGCTTATGGAGGACAGAAGCACATCCGGACCGTTTCTGGGCAGGTGCCGAGCGTGTGATTTGTGTTTCCCGTCACGACGAAGTCGATCGCACCTGTGTTTTCAGTTCGAGTTCACTTTCACCCGAGTCTCTCCTCAGCTTCCATCCTCGTGTCTGTCTCTCAGCCCCCGTGGCTTCGGGCCCCCCTTTTCAGTCGCTCTTTCCATTTTGGTATCCAAGTGTCTAAGGTGGCTGTTTCCTAGTCCATCCTTTTGCGACTAGTGCCCTGAACGCTGGGCCCCACTTGGCACTCCATCTCCTTTTTCCCCGAGCCATCTTGACCATTGACCCAACCTTTTTCCCTTCCCCTATTCTTCGCTCCCCATTTTTCTTGGCCTCACGTTGCATGCTAGCCCAGGTCCCCCTTTCCCATGCCACCTCTCGAAACAGCCGTGTTGATACGTCGTAGAGGAGAGGGGAAGCACTGTCGCATTTTGTTTCCTGTCTTGTTATCCTCTTCACCGTTGAGGCAGCGCTAGATTTCGGTCGTTTTGTCCCTGTGGACTGTCTGTTGACGTTTCTTGAATTTTGTTGATTCGTTATTTTCTCGACTTTCTTCTCGTCTTGTTTCTCCTCTACCTATCCCCGTCTTCCTCTTCTGATCATCTTTTCCCATATTGTCCTCTCTCCTTTCTCTTTCTGGCGAACGGGAGGCAAGCGTGCTGTCTCACCTGCGCCTGTTGTCTCACTTTTTCTCTTTCTCCGCCTCGACCATTCTTCACACTGCACGCTGTCTGTCCGTTGCTCTCCTTTTTCGACCTTTTTACGTCTTCTTCGACCGTTCTTGTCTCGCCGTATCTTCGCCGCCCTCCTTTTTCACGTTCGCCTACGATAGGCTCGCCCGCTTATTCTCTTCGTCGAATCGCCGCTTTCGTCTGCCATCTCGTTTGTCGGCCGAGTCCCTTCTCTGTCTGTCCCCAGTTCATCATCCACACAAACAAGAGGCCCTAGCTCGCGCCCACCTACCGAACGCAGCAACGATCGCCCAGTCCCCTTCAACTCCCCCCAGTCGCAAAATCGGTCCATCTACATACACAAACGGAAAAGGGAAAATTAAACGGGAAGACGACATCAAAACTTCCTTCCTTCCCGCCACCCCCGTCTATCGAGATCGATATTTTCCTTGTTCTTTGGTTTTCTCCCATTTCCATTTCCTCTCCACGACGTGTCCTCGCGCTTCCCTGGAGACTCACATTCGCATTTTCGACATCGTCACTCCTTGCTTCGATTGTTTGCTGGTCAACAATGCGCCTGGCGTCACGATAGCCCCAGACCAATCCGGTACGTAACGCAGCCTCTTTTCTTTGCTATTGTATTTGCTATTGTATTTGCTATTATCCTTTGCTATTGTTGTTTGCTTTCCATTTGCGGTTGCGATTCAATGCGTTGTTGTTCTTTGTTCTGCTCTGGCACCGGCTCCGCCAATATACACACGCCCACTACATACGTACGCGTACCCGCGTGCATCCTTTCGACTGCCGTTTGTCAAAACGATCTGGACGCCCTGTGCGCCGTTTGCCGCTCTGTTGGTTTGCTGCCGACGCCCTCCTGCCCTGCCCCGTCGGCATTCTTCGTTGGACGCGGCTGATGTTGGCACGACACACACGGATCCTGGGCGCTGGACAATGCTGTGAACCCTCAAAGGCAAAACACGTACACTCTTTTTCTGAGCCGGGGAGCATCGAAACAAGGCAGGACGGCACCGGAAGAAAGTGCTTTGGAGGCACAAACAGCCATTTCCAACCGCTTTCGGTGACTTGCTACCTTCCAATACCATTCAAACCCTGTTCATGACGACACGACACTGGGTTGGGACAATCCTAGCCTAGCCCACGTCTCGTAAGAAGCAACCTGCACACGACCAGACCGATTTCGTTCTGAATTTGTCGACGCACACGCCTTTTGTGCTTTATCGTTTTGCCATTTGATCGCCTTCTCTTTGCTGCGCGACCCATGGGACCAAGCTTTTCCAGGTCGATTTTACCTGGCGATCATAAAGTCTCCGCGTCAATGTCCCCTGGATAGGCTCTTTCTCCCCTCGCCCTCCCCGCATAAACATTGTCTTGCAAGTGCTGTCCGTTCCTGGCGGATCAGACAGGACGGCTTATTTTGCCTTACTTTGCTTTCTAGAACATGCCGTTTCAGCATTTCAATTTTTTTTCTTTTCTTTCTGGTGTTCCTTGTCCCTGACGGCCGACCTTGTCCATTTTAATTTTATATTGCAGCTACTAATTGTGTGTGAGAGTGTGCAGCCTGCAGCCTGCCGATTGCCTTGTTCGCCTTTCAGTTCAGCCAGAACGAACAGAGCAGGAACAGACATTCGAAAACAGGCACACGACTATTCTAATTGACACTTGATTGCTGTCCTAATTTCGTACCGCCATTCTCTCCTTTTTTCGGATTTCTTTTTATTAGCTTTGCTTTCGTGCGACCAACACTTCCCCTCTTTTTCTCGCTCTCTCGTTTTCTACACCAATCTCTCCTATCCGAGCCGCAAGCCATCGCCCACCATAGACACCACCCTCACTACCTGTTGTCCTACCATCTGCCACTGTCTTGCACGCAGCGGAGCTGACTGGTCCAAGGCAGCGAAAAAAGGAACACGAACACAGTCCACCCTGCCTCGCACGAGAAACGAACACAAACGAAAGCGGAAAGCGGAAAGTGGCTAAGGAGGGCCTGCAGTCTAATCGAGGAGACGACAGCACGCGCGCGGAGCTGAAAGGGCCACGAAGTAATACTGCATTTCTGGTTGTGTTCACTCCTTGCTTCGTTGAATATTGCCTTCTCCTCACACCTCCTACCCTTACTTTCGGGACGGGTGCTTTTTCATAAAACGACACAATGGCCTACCCGCCTTCTGAGTCCGGGAGTGCCTCCCGACCTGCGTCTGGCACTACGTCCACCTCGCAGAGACCAAGATCGCGAGCACCGAGCA